ACAACTTCCACGGCAGCCAGCGCCAGAAGTTGATACTACGTGGAGAGCAGCAGAAAGTGTACCAGGCGATTGGTGCGAAAATGGACTACGTGTAACTGATCATTGGACACTGAGACGTACACAAACCTTGTGGCAAGCAGAAGTGCTTACATTCGGTGACTAATAACAGATGCCAAAATGCTGGCCAGCACCATGGTGCTACCAGCATGCTGCTGGCCTGCTGTGGCAGTATATCATCCTGATGCAAACGAGTGCATAGACACGCTGCAAAGGGCCAAATACTGCATTGTGCAAGCGACACAAGCAGCTTCAGCGCCTGATCATGCATTGTAAAACTATGCAAAAACATATGGATATGCTTCAAAGACACACTGCAAACCTGAGCCTGCTGAAAACAGTAAACAGGACTTAGCACAGCTACCCTACAAACTGTTTAGAAAAAAAAGCTGCCAGCAACAAATTCAGCTCTGGTCACGAAGGTATCGCCAGTGCTATTGCTGCTACATGCAGTTAGGCAATGTACAGGCAAACACAACCCATGACTGCAGACTGCAGCCTGCCTGGCCAGCTGCAGCTCCAGAAAATAGAGCATGCTGCCAATCAGTCCAGTACTTGTTGCAAAAATCAGAGCGGTACAGGGTGATGTACAGGTTCACCAGGGTGTGCAACATCTCGCCAGCTTGCAACACTCGGTCACAACGCACAACTTCCACAGGGTGCTGACAATCAGCATAGTTTTACAGATGCAGATCACAGTACGATGCAAGTGGTGCCTGCAGCACACAGTATCTACAAGTTCGTACCCACACCCAGGAATCCCTTAATATCAATGCCTATGTACATGAAGCCAACACACAACCACACACAGGCACAAACCTGCATGCACCTGGTTCTTGCATGCATTGAAGGCAACCCCAAGAGCAGCAACAAACACAAGTGGAGTGATTTCTACTGCTGCTCAGCCCCTGCTGCCTCTGCCTCTTCTGCTGCCAGCCTAGCTGCAGCTGCTGCATGAGCCTGTGCAGTCAGGTGCTCCCTGAACTGGCAGACTGACATAGGCTTGCTTGACTTAGGGTTGGGGTTTGGCAGCGCCAGCCGCTCCTCATCCAGCTTCTGCGCTGCTGCCACCATGTCCACTTGGACACCCCGCCTGCCCAGCCTCCGCTGAGCGTCCACCAGCTGCTCCTGCTTCTCCTCCAGCGCAGTCAGCAGCACCATATACTCGCTCCAACGCTGCTTGGAACCGCCTGCCCGCCAGGTGTGGCTGCCGTCATCCTCCATCTGCTTGATGGTGCGGCCTGCAGCCACGTCGCTGTGGTGGGGCTGCACTGCATACCAGTGGGCCAGCGCTTCCATGCTGATATGCACGCTCAGGCTGGGAAAGGGCTTGATACCCTTTTTCCTGGGCTGCTGCTGCTGCTGCTGCTTCTGGTGCTGCTGCTGCAGCACCTCCGCAGCACCCCCGGCTTCACCCATATCCTGGTCCTCACACTGCTGCTGTTGCTGCTGCTGCATCCCTGCACAGCCGTAACCCTGCTGCCCCCGCGTGATTAGCTGTCTCAGATCCAGCAGAACCTCCATAACTCCATCTACTGGCACATACCCTCCAGCACCCGCCATGGTGGCAGTGCGTGCCCCAGCTGCTCCCAGCGCAGCTGCAGCAGCTCCCTGGGCTGTGATGTGCGGCAGCGCAATCTCACCCAGGGGCTCAACTGTTCCCATCCCCTGCAACAAACTGCTGCCAAACTGACGGCCCTGCTGCTGCTGCTGCTGCTGCTGCTGCTGCTGCTGCCGCGCTTGAGCCTGCCTACTTGCTTGCCGTGTCTGCAGCAGCAGCTGCCACTCGGCGTCTGACAGTCCAGGCGGCCGCTGCTGCTGCTGCCTCAGCTGCAACACCATCTGCCACTCGGCGTCTGATAGCCCAGGCGGCCGCCCATCCCTCTGCTGCTGCTGCTGCTGCAGCGGCTGCTGCTGCTGCTGCAGCGGCTGCTGCACAAATGGCAGCTGCTGGTCCTCCCTGCCCGTCATGAAGGCAGTGTAGTGGTCACCACCGGGCGTCAGGGTGTCAGCCGCCCGGCCAGCCACCTCATGCAGGAGGCGCACTGCACCGCTGGGTGTGCACAGCAGCTGCCCCTGGCTTGCAGCAGCTGCTGCGACACTTGCAGCACTGCCAAAGCAGTCGTCATGCTGCTGCACATCCTGCTGCTGGGCCTCCTGCTCTTCCAGCTCTAGCTGCTGCAGCTGCTCCTGTATCCGCTGCTGCTGCTCTGGAGAAGGTGGCAGCTCGCCTGCTGCCATAGCCTGCAGGTTCTGCACCACCACCTCTGGCAAGGTGCCTGTGCCTCCTCCTGCTGCAGCATCTCCAGCTGCTGCGGCAGCGGCAGCGGGAGCAGCTGCTGCGCCTGCTGCTGTGGTGTCAGCGGCTGCCGGGGCTGCTGTTGTGCCACGAGTCAGCTCCCGCAGCAGCTTCTCGTAGCCCTGCCAGTTCAGCTCTGCAGCACTGGTGATGGCAGCCAGGCACTTCTCCTGCATGTGCTGCACGCTCTGCTGGATCTGCTGCTTCACAGTGAGGGGGCGCTGGCTGGCGAACTTGCCCAGGCGCTTGCCGTTCTTGTAGCTGAACAGCAGGTCCCTGCAGGAGTTGGCAGAGAAACGGACGGTGTGTGAAAAAGAAAGTAGCATCCGTTGCACCATGCCGGCCAAGCATTGCATCTTTACTGCTGCAGGAACTGCGCTAATGCCTTTTTGTTGCTGCAGGCTGCACGGATGCCGCTTTGTTGCTGCAAGCTGCACTGATAGGACTGTTTGAAAGTGATCTGTGTGACAGATGGGGCAAATGAACAAGCAACAACATGTCAAATGGTGGCTGTCAACAGTGGCATACATTGAATTCAGGCGGTCACCCCATTGGCTCCATCCTTGCCGCCCCACCTGAAGCTGTCGTAGCCCATCAGCAGCTTGTGGATGGGGTTGTCAGGGAACCGCTCAGCCAGCTCCAGCGCGTCTTGCACCACCATGACTGCCCCCATGCGCAGCACCCGTGCCACAGCTGCAGCCTCTGGCGCCACCCTGCCAGAGCGTGGGCCGCCAGCTGCTTCCTGCTGCGCAGCAGCTGCCTCAGCCTCAAGCTCCTTCAGGCCAGGAAACAGGGCATAGATCAGCTCCAGCGGCACAGCCACATGGAAGCGCTCAGCCCAGTAGCCGCTGAAGTCCTTCTGCGCTGCTCCAGGCCAGAAGCCCAGTGCCAGCAGCGCCTCAGGGGTGAAGCCAGGCACGATGTAAGAGGTGCCAAATGAGTCCAGCAGCCAGTGGCCGATGCGCTGGATGACCTGAGAAGTCAGCAACCACACAGCAGAGGGCAAGGCACGGTGTATTAATGAAATAAAACAAGACGGGGACACCTACTTGGTGCATCTCCCTTCAGGGTTACATGTGCTGGTGAAGTCGCTGGGGCAAAAGCATGTCTGAGCAGTGCTGGTATAGCTTCCCCTACTACATTGAAAGGCCAAGCTGTTGTCTCTGCAAACAACACAAGCAGAGCCAGGCCTTGAACCTATGACACTAGCAGCATTCATCTGTTTTTTTACCCCCCCCCCCCCCCCAGCACAGCCTAGCTGTGCCTTGCACATGCTCAAGGCGAATGCTGATACATGGCCAGCTGCTGAACCCTGCAAGCAGAGCCACATGCTTGTAGTGCTATAAGCAAACCCATGCACATGCTTTATCACAAGCAGCCCTGGCGTATCGGTGGGCCAGTTCCAAACTCACCTCAAGCGACACGCCCATCTCGTACATGGCCTGGGCCGCGAACACGCGCAGCTCGTGGGTCACCTTGGAGGGGGCCACACCCAGCAGCTTGTAGAGCTTCTTCATCAGCTCAGCATGGTTGCTTGGGGTCATCTCCTTGCCTGGTGTACATCAACATGAGCAGCAGCAGCATCAGCAGCATCATCATCATCATCAGCAGCAGCAGCAGCAGCACAGCCACGCAACAGCAGAAGGTGAACAGCTCGGCGGGTGTTGGCTGCAGTTCCTGGCAAACCTCTCAAAAAACCACCAGCTGTTGTGTTTGGTTGTGGCAGTTGCTGAATGCTAAGCTTCATGCACATGAAACTACAGAGAGACTGACCCGGCAGTTGACGCTTCAATGGTTCTGCTTGACCGCCAGACTGCATGCTCAGTGACGTGATAGCTAGATCCTTCAGCTCATCATGCTGGCAACACTCCCATCCTGGCCAAACTGTTCACAAACCATTTCACCAAAGCCTTGACGTCCCTCTTAGCGTCAGCAGCGCAAAGTGCCAGTCCACAGGACAACCACCTACCTGCACGGCCGGGCCACAGGAGGAAGGACTGCCACTGCAGGTGGCCTGGTTTCAAAGGGCCCAGGGGAAAGGACGGCAAGGCCGAAGGCCCCAAAATTGCTTCTTGTCTGTTCAAGCTTAAAGAATGAATAGACACATAAGCTGGTTGCGGGTGTGTTCATTGCAGTATTCTGCAGCATAGTGCTGCTCTACGGCTGCAAGGGCTGCCATCACTGGTGTGACAGGGTTTTTTTGGCCAAAAGCGGCCGGGGCAGCAGAGCAAGTGTTGAACACACATCTAATGCAGACCTGAAGCAAACGCTAAGACGGAATCAAGGGGTTTGCACCGTCGACGAGCCAAGAAACAGCCAGGAGCCAGATTCTGCATGTCCAACAACAATTGTTCAAGTTATGTGGCCTAACGCACAAATGCCTGCTGGAATTTGTCGAAGAATGTGTTGCAAGGTCGAAGCGGGGTGCAGCTCGATTGCACACGACTCATCACATCATTGCACTTGACTCTCACACTTGCATGCAAAGTGGTGCCCTGGCTTAAAGTGCTGCTGCTGGTGCTGCAGACTGTTGTGTGCCCAAACCCACACCTATCAGCATCTAAAGCATGCCCAGGCTGTCAGCAGATGGCGCAGGCAGGCTGGCTGGAGCACCCCGGCACCAACATTCGTGCGCAAAACATAGCACCCGACGCAGGGATCGAACCTGCGACCCTCGCCTTAGGAAAGCGATGCTCTATCCGCTGAGCTAGACGGGCTTTGGGCTATTACACCCACGATTGCCAGATGCCTGCGCCGCCACATCGTAACGTCATAAGCCATTAAACTGTAACCCCTCTTCTTCCTTTCTAACTCAACTTGTTGCTGTATAATGTGCCTCTTGCATGGACTCAAGCTGCTGCAAGCGAGGCAGCAAGAGCAGGGTGGCCAGCTGTTCTGCCTTCTGCTCCTGCAGTGCCATCTGAGGCAGAACAAATTGTTGAATGCATGCTGGTGTCACGGCTTGGCTGGTATCTGTTGCCTGCAGGCAAGCCCTGCTCCATCAGGCGGCTGTCCGTGAAGACAGCTACCGCCTTGCAGCTGCGTAATTTGCGTGTTGAGCAGCAGGCTCGGAAACGTCAGTTTGTGGTCCTTGCACTCAATAACTCAAATTCAGCAGCGACTAGGGATGGTGTTGGTAGTGTGACCGCTGCGCAGCGTAAACTGTGGAAGTTGCGCTGGGATAACCGCATCAAAGAGGTGTTCTGGCGTGTGGTGTTGAATGGTGTACCTACTGCTGCTCGAATGCCGGGCGTGCAGCGTGCTTGCTTGTGTGGTGCGTGTATGCCTGGGTATGACCACCATTACTGGCACTGCCCTGTTGCGCAAGCGGTGGTACAGTCCATAGTGGAGAATTTGCCTACAGCATGGTGCACTCGCACGCCTGGATCCTCAGCTTTAAGTATGCAGCATATTTGGCTCATGCAACCGCCGCATGGTGGGCGGAGTGTGCTCACATGCGTGTGGCGTGTCGTGTGTTTGGCGGCCTTCAATGCTATGGATGTTGGCAGGAGGGCAGCCAACCTACAGCATGTGCTAAACAGGCAGCATGACCTTGTTGCCAGTCCAGCAGGTGGCCCTGCCCGGGCGCCACCTGCTGACCAGCAGCTTATCACTCAGTTGTTGCAGCCTGCTACTCCCTCAGCTGCGCAACTGGCTCATAATGAGGCAGTGAGGCAGCACAGAGAGCAGCAGCAGCTACAGCTTCAGCAGCGGCGACAGCAGGAGCTTGATGAGCTGGTGCAGACGAAGAAGAAGGCGGCGGTGGCTAGGTTTTGGGAGCTGCTGGTTGACTTCATAGTCATCAAGGCGGCACCCTTGACCTGGCTGGATATTGTGCCAGCTGATCACCCCTTTTTACGCGTGGTTGAAGGCCGGCTGCAGCTAGCACCAAGAAGGGACTTGGCCTCTGCGTCATAGCATGAATTGGGGTTATTTCTTGCATCCTCTGCTCTTTGATCCGTTTTGCTACATGTGGTTGCATGTCTTGTGCTGTTAGTACTCTCATGCAGCCTGTGTCAGCCAGTAGGTGTGTTGGGCGGGTGCCATTGCCAGGGGTGTGGCCTTGTCAGACACATCAGTAGGGTGGCAGGTGCCTGTGGTGCCACGGCGCTGCGGGTTATGCTGTTGCTTTGTGCGCGTTCTAGTAGCAGAGAGTTATGATCATGTTGATCATCATGTTGTACAATGTCTTCAACACCTGAAGCAGGAGCACCGAGGTGCCCAGTACCTGCTAGTTGTTGCCATGTCTGCATGTTCCAATCCTATTTCGCTGACGTTGACACCTTTTTGTTCCGTCCTGATGATTTTTCTCTGCGCAGAGTTTGTGTTATTTTGGGTGAGGAAGCTGCAAATTGCTTCTCTGAGGCTTTTTGTGGTTTATTCTCGTGTCCTGCGCGCTGCAGTCCTCGAAGTGTTCCGTTTCCAACGTGCACACCCATGTAACTCTCCTCAATCAAATCTAACACCTTTCTTCTTCTTTTTCTTCTAACACCAAGTTGAACTTCTAGCAGCTCTCTTTGTTTTCGGGTGTTCGTTGCGACGTAGTCGCCTGTGCACACCATGTAACCCCTCTTCTTCTTGGCGCGAGGCAGACGGTTCTGCCTGCAGAGCCACGTGTCATGTCTCGCGCACAGAGGCTTTCTCGGGGTGGGCCTCTTTTGGGTGACAGTCTGTTTTTCCGCTGAACTTCTAGCAGCTCTCTTTGTTTTCGGGTGTTCGTTGCGACGTAGTCGCCTGTGCACACCATGTAACCCCTCTTCTACCTAACACCAAGTGGATACACACGTTAACTTCATGGAGCGGCCGGCGGTACAACGCCGGCTGCAGGTACGGGGTTGGTCGTCGTTTTGGTGTGTGGGGCTTCCAGGTCAGGGTCGCACCAGAGCCGGCGTGGCAGTTCTGGTCCGCAGCAGTCTTCTCGCCAGTGGGGCCTTGCAGGTGCAGGGGGAGGTACATGCGCCTGTTGACGGCCCTGCCCAGGGCAGGATGCTGTGTGTGCCTCTAGTCTGGGCAGGGCAGCGTCTGCAGGTGGTGGGCATCTACATGCATGCATCTGATCCCGCAGCCAATGCAACCATCATCAGCGGCCCTCTGCGGGAGCTCTACCAACAACATCGGCAACAACCAGCCACTGGCCTGATTTTTCTGGGCGATTTTAACTTTGTGTCCAGTAGAGGCATGGACCGCAGACAATTTGCTTCCCAGCAGCAGCAGCAGCAGCAGCAGCAGCAGCAGCAGCAGCAGCAACAGCAGCAACAGCAGCAGCAACAGCAGCTACGGCAGCAGCATCAGCAACAGCAGCAGCAGCAGCAACCCCTGCTGCCGCGTGATGCCGCGCCAGCAGCAGCTTGGGCACAGCATCTGCCTCGCATGCGTGATGTATGGCGGGATAAGCACCCGGCGCGCCGCGCGTACACATATGTGCGTGCCAATGCAGCGTCTCGTATTGACAGGATTTACTGTTCAGATACCTTGATGCCGCAGGTGGTGGCCAGCCGACATGAGGACAAGACTGCAGCTCTCAGTGACCATTCAGCAGTGGTGACGCAGCTGCAGCCGCGCGGCCCGGGCGTGTTGGGACCTGGGCTCAGGCGGCTGCGTATGTCATTTCAGCGGGATGCGCAGTGTAGAGCAGCAATGCAGGCGTGGCTGGCGTCCCAGCAGCCACCGGCAGATGCAGCAACTTTTATCATTCAGTGGTGGCCGACGTTTAAGCGACGGCTCACCGCAAAATTTGCAGAACTAAATGGGATGGCCAGGATAGCTCAGGCAGCCCAGCCAGCAACGGCGCAGCATACAGCAGCAGCAGCCGCGGTGATGGCGGCGCATGGCACGCTTGAGGTGTGCAATGATGCCGCGTTGCCAGCAGCCCTGCAGTCTGTGGTGGATGCCAGGGCTCAACTGGCAACATTGCAACAGCAGGAGGAAGATGTGCAGCGGGCGCGGCGCAGGTGGCAGTGGGTGCACCAGGGCGAGCGGCCTGGACCAGCAATGACCAAGATTCTGAAGCCTCCCAAGGGGGCCACGTATATTGGAGGCCTGCGAGCCCCGGTACTGGCCACCTGGTGCGTGACAGTGTGAGTCTGGCGCGTATCATCGGTAGGCGGTATGCTGACCTGACTGTGGCACCTCAGGTTCAACAGGCACAACGGCAGGCTGTGCTGCAAGCAGTGAGGCAGCATTCGCAGCGTCTTGATGCAGCGGCAGCCGCCCAGCTTGGAGCTGCAGATGTCACCGTTGGTGAGGTGACTGAAGCCATTCTCAGACTGCCCCGGGCAGGTCACCTGGGCTGGATGGAATTCCAGGGGAGTTCTATCGACAGTACAAGACGCAACTTGCACCGTTATTGGCAGCGTTGTATTCGGCTGTTGGTGCAGCACAGCGTGTCCCGCATGGTCTGTTGGATGGGGTTATCTTGCCTGTGCTGAAACCAGGCGGGGATGTCGCTGACCCAGCTGCATATCGGCCAATACAATTGCTTAACTATGACTATCGCCTTCTAGCCAAATTGCTTGCCAATCGGTTTTTGGCAGTGGCAGGTGATATTGTGCACCCTGCACAATCAGCATTTCTGCAGCACCGGCATATTGGTGATAGCATCAGGCTGCTGCAGGCGCTGCCTGCCTTGCTCAATGCAGAGCAACGTATGGCTATTGTTGTCTTTACTGATTTTGCCAAAGCCTACGACACTGTGGATAGATCACTACTGTATGATGTAGCAACAGCGCTTGGGGCCGGACATGGGTTTGTCGGTTGGATGCGCACGCTGCTAACGGATACGCACACATGCGCCACAGTGAATGGTTTTGGCAGTCCTTTTTACCGTTGCGAGGCTGGAGTTCGACAGGGGTGTCCTTTGGCACCTCTGTTATACCTGTTTGTTGGGCAGGCGCTACTGTGCTTCTTGAAGCAGCGCGGCATTGGCATTGTTGCAGCCAGCCAACAGCTTGCGGCGACGCAGTATGCTGACGATGCTGAGGTGTTTTTGCTGTCGCTTGCTGATGTGCCCACGTTCCTCGGTTGCATGGATGATTTCGCTGCAGCCTCTGGTCAGCGACTGAACCCCGCAAAATCACGTTTGCTGCAGGTAGGGCAGCTGCCAGGAGCGGCGGCTGTAACGAGTGGGGCGGGGCAGAACTTGGGTGCCATGCCACTGGTGCAGCAAGCGAAATCTTTGGGGGTCGTGTTTGATGGGCGGGGCAACAGCAGTGTGGACTGGGAGGGCAGATTGGAGGTGGTGCGGAGCCGCATGCAGAACATAAGTCGCCTCTCCAAGTTGTCCGCTTTTGGCAGGGCGTTTGCGGCCAATGCTTACGCCTTGTCAACCCTTCTATATGCTGCTCAGTTTGCTGGTCAACTGCCTGCTACAGTGACGGACAATTTGACGCGGTGGACAGCAGCGCTAGTTGATGCTGGCAAGGGCCCTGATGAGGATCTGCGGCGGGCCCCTGGTATCCCAAGCGATTGTATGGCAGCCCATCCTAAGTGTGGTGGTTTTGGTTTGATGCCAATTCAGCATCATCTGTTGTCGCGTTGGGCCTGTGAGGCTCTGCCTTTCTGCAAGGTGGCACTGCACCTTGGGTGGCTGTGGCGCGCGTTCTTTGGACGCGCTGGGCCAGTACAGTGGATTGTTTTACACGCGCCACAGCTAGCAGCCCTTGGGGCATATTGTTATGTCATCGAAGTCATATTTTCCCGGTTGCCCAGGCTGATGTGG